AATGTAGCATTAATAGGAGTAGTGTCTTGTTCATCACCTTATTAATCAGGAAGGTAATATTCTCCAATAGCTTAGATAAAAATACATAATTCTTCCTATTCTGATTTTCTGAGGAAGAGTTCAATGGAAAAATTGGAACGCTATAATTTCTTGTTATGTTGGCTGGATGCACTGATTTTGTCAAAATCAGTGCATCCAGCCAACATAACAAGGTAATATTTTATCAGATTAATTTGTTTTGTTCTCAACTATCCAAATTATTTAGGCTTTTTACTGAAATAAAATATTAGGAAGTATACGTATCATAAGTGTGGAGCTATATGATTTTTTTGTGCTCTGAGCACACACATAACCAACCAGATCAAGAACAGAACTTCACCAGCTCCCCAAAGTCCTCCTCACTGGCACCTCTTCCATTCCTACCAAGCCTAGCTATGATCTTGACTTACAATAGTCCAAATTAGTTTTGCTTGGTTTTAAAATTTTTATATACTTGGGATCATATATATGTTCTCTTTTGTGGCTGGCATTTTTTGCTCAGCATTATTATTGTGAGATTTATCCATATTTTTGCACATGGTAGTTGTATAACATATTCTCAGTGCTGTTTAGTATTCCCTTGTGTGACTATACCCCAGTTTATTTCTCCAGTCTACTATTGATGGTATTTCAATGGTGTTCATTTTGAGGCTATTATGGGTAGCATTACTGAAAACATTCTGATACGTTATTCTAATGATCTTTGTGTGCATTTTTGCCAGATGTATAGTTACAAGTGGAATTTCTGGGTCACAGGGTAGGCATATGTTCAGTTTTAGAAGTTACTGCGAAACAGTTTTAAAAATTAGTTCCCACCAGTAATATAAGAGAGTTCTAGTTCCACATCCTCACTGACACTTGGTGCATTTTGTCTTTTTGATCTTACTCATTGTAGTGGGCTATACTGGTTTTATTTTTATTTCTAATGAATAAAGTTGAACATCTTTTCATATGTATGCTCTTTTATTATAGAGTGTCTGTTCAAGTATTCTGTCTGTTTTTCCTAGTCTTTTTTTCTTATTGATTTATATAAATAATTTATATATCCTGGATATAAGTATTTGTGTATGTGTATGTGTGTTTGTGTATATTTGTGGATCAAATTTCTTGTTGATGTTTATTGTTTTAGCATGTATTAGAAGTGCACAAGATATTTGGAGCTACATTTTTGCATGGACCCATTCTGTAAATGTTCAACAGTAAAGCTTATATAACTCTTCATTGTGCTGTCATTTGCATATGACTTAATGCATATAGCACAAAACTTGATGAACGATATAGTAGCAGACAAAGAATTGGAGAAATACAGTCATCTTATATTGTGGAAAATAGAATGATTTATGTATTTTCATATAGTATACATCTTCTTTCATGAAAGAGAACATAGCAAAATTATTTTTCCTGCTTAGATTTATGTCTAATTTATGATGTTCTAAAGTAATAGCATATTCTACAGAGTGAATTTTTCCAAAACTGTGGTTGCATTTAATGCAAATTTGAATTACCCAAATTTGAAATTAAACAATATGAAAGGAGTAACACTGTATTTTCACTTTCAAGTAATAAGAATATCATAGTGTTAACAGTCAACGCTCAAATTTTAAAAGCTTGGTATTTAGGGTGGATTGCAAAGCATAAATTTTTGTGAGATTATTTTAATAACATTATTTACAGATTTAAAAGATGTGGTTATCACAAGTCTTGAGGGGGAAACTACTGCATAATATTACTTGTAATAAATATTTTGCATCAAAAAAAGATTACTATCTAGTGAATTGCAGACTCTGTTTAATATGATTCTCTTTCACTCTGCCATATTATCTGACAAACAAATCTCTTGTCAAGACTTATTCCAATGTATGCAGACTTGGAATAACATGAGGTCACATGGGTAAAATGCTATAGCCTTTTAATTAGACCAAACAAACCTCTTCAAGCCCCCAGACTTCGTTATATATTATCTAAGTGTAGTCAGAAGGCTGAGTTCTAGTTATTGGCACACTTTCTGAACTTGACAAGTGTTTAAACTCCATGGGCCTCACTTTCTTAATACGATAAATTAAGGGTTTGGACTATGGGAGGTTCTCTAGGACTCCCTGTTGCTCAGAGACCTGTTCTGAATGTTCACTCGGAATAAAAATTTTGCAAATATCATCTTCAAATAAGAAGATCACCATATATGATGTATGTACATGTATAAAAATATTTTCTCCCAGTTTTTACTTCAGATTCTTACTCTTTTTACAGTATTATTTATGAATAGGTATTTTTAATTTTAGTGTGGTTGAATTTATCAATATTTTATTAGGGCTTTTCAATGTCTGTCTATTAAATCCTTACATACTTCAGTATCACAATATGTTGTTTTTTAGAAATTTTACAGATTTATCTTACCAATTTATATCTTTAGTCTATGGAGAATTGATTTTTCCATAGAAACAAACAAAATATAATGTAAATATTATATAATGTAAAAAATAATGTAAAGATCCATTTTGTCAGTTTTCCCAGGACCATTTATTGATTAGTTTATACTTTGCTCACTTCGGTGTAATGCTTGACTCGATATAAATCATTTTCATATATGTTTAAGATTTTTTCTAGTTTGATTGTCTTTATCCTCCCCCCTTTTGTCTATCCTAATGCATTATCTTAATTACTATAATTTTCTAACAAATTCCCATCTTTAGATAGAAAAGTTTATTTTCTTTCTCTACCATACCTTGGCTCTTTTAGGCTCTTAATTTTTTCCGTAGAATTATGGAATCAACTTCTCACCTTAAGTTAAAAAATTCATTGCGATTTATATTAAAGTTTCATTGAAGCTATAGATCTCTTTCTGTATATTTAAAACATTGATAGTCCCAAATACATAGAACCCTGCAATCTTTCTGAAATATTAAGTCCAATAATTTTTTAACATTGTCTTGATCTTTCAATTTATACAATAGTATTTGCTAATATGATGTTATTTTTCCTTCTAATCTTTATAATACTCTTATTATTCTTGTCTTCCTACATTAATTAGAACTTTAAGTATAGTATGTTAACACTGGGCATCCTTGTTCTGTTTCTGTTCTTAAAGAAAATATTTTTAATTTCATAGTAAAGTATGGCAAATACTATTTGTTTTAGATTATCATAGTAGGTAGGCAAGGAGGAAGACATCTACCATTTCTAGTGCCCACCAGCTTTGCCACATGCCTCTACAAGCATCTCATTTTATCCTGAAAGATTGGTATCAATGACCATTTTAAGAAATGGAGATTTAAAAAGACATATCATTTCCCCCAGTATGGTTAGACAGTGGCTGTGCTGGAATCTAAATTCGTATTTTGGCCTGCCTTTTTTTCCTTCACTATATCAGAAATATTTAGAAGCAGACCCCTAGGCTGTAAACTTTCAGAGCCAAGAATTAGGTCAGCCTTGGTTCATTCCAATAATTCAAAACACTAATACTGGGCTTAACACTTGACAGGTGTTTAGCCAATATTTTGAGTGTATGAATGAGAGGGACCTTTTATAAGGTTTGTATTGTCTTTGCTATGACTCTAACCTCAGAATGTGGTAGGTATGACCTAACCACTAGTCTTTACTAATAGTTTACTAGTAGGCAGTGACTATTCTTCCGTGGCATACTCCTTTGTGAAAGTCCCTAGGTGCTCACTGCCTTACTCAGTGCCATGTGTTGCCTACTTGTAGCCACTGATGGCACTTTCTGCTTCCAGGGAGTCAGGTCATTGGGCCCTGGTGAAATTAAACCTTGATTTGAGCTCTGATACAAGGACATGAATTGTATATCAAATGAAAATAACACTGAGGTTAAAAAAAATAAAACAACATAAGCTATTGCCTCCATTAGAGTGAGATTTTTTGGTACATGAGCCATCCAGTAGACATAGTAGAGATGCTATATTACCAGTGAAATCGATTAAGATTCTTCAGTACTACCTGTGGTTTATAGCTTACCATATTTATAGCTCACCAGAAGCTGAGTCCAGACCATACCATCCCATTTTTCTTGGTATAATGCCATCATTGCCCAGGAAGTTGAAGAAGATTTTGGCTCGCACTTTTTCTTTGGTTAAACTTATTTCGTTAATGGGAGAACACAGTTATTTCCAAATAGCCACACTTCTTTTTGATTTGTCTAGCATCTTGCAGGATTCATGTTGTTACTCCTAAAAATGGTAAAGACTGAGATATAGAAGAAATGTTTAGACTTCATTTATATGCTATTCCCATGATAATGTGCTGGAATTCTTACCAGCCTCATAAAAGCCAGCCCTACCATCTGCTTGGTGAGATCAGGGAATGAATCAACAATCCAGCTAACTCCATTAAGTTTTCTATCACTGCTCCCTTTATCCAGGGAGAAAAAATGCATATGCTCTACAGGAGATCTATTTACTCCCAGACCAAATTCTAATTTTTTTCCTTGCTTTCCCTTCACCAGATAATTTGTTAATTTGTTATGGTTTCTCAGTGGTGAAAATATTTGGCCCTTGACTAAGATCTTTGAATATAAACATCTCACTGAATATTAAAATAATGCCTCAGTTGGATGGAGAGAATGTTGCAAACACTTTGGAGGCCATTGTTGCTAGCAGAGTAGAACCATCCCATATGCATGTATGGTACCTGATTCACACCCTGGAGATATCACAGAGCTGCTATCTCTGATCAGAGCTCTTGCAGTGATGCTTAAAAATTAATTGAATTTTCAAGACTGTCAGCTTTAGCAACTGTAGTTGATGGCCCAATGTCTGAGGATGTTTAGTGAATGGTATATACTGCCACCTACAGTACTATTTGACTCTCCTTGACAGTTTTCATCAATCAGAAATGTTTGTTAGCCAAGAATTAATTTGCAGACTGATTATTTTTTTTTCTGTTGAAATCTGATTTACATAGTGTATTTATTGTTTTACTTACGCATGTATGTATCTGTTTTCCTCTAGGAAAAGAAGAATATATTGCCACTTTCAAGGGATCTGAATACTTCTGCTACGACTTGTCTCAAAACCCTATTCAGAGCAGCAGTGACGAAATAACTCTGTCCTTTAAAACCCTTCAAAGGAATGGACTGATGCTTCACACTGGGAAATCAGCTGATTATGTCAATCTTGCCCTGAAAAATGGAGCTGTCTCTCTGGTCATTAATTTGGGATCAGGGGCCTTTGAAGCACTAGTGGAGCCCGTGAATGGAAAGTTTAATGATAATGCCTGGCATGATGTGAAAGTCACCAGGAATCTGCGTCAGGTAACAGCGCAGTGGATAAGAGAGTAACTGGCCTTGTTTCTCGCTACAGCTGTGTGTGTGGTACTTGAAAATCCTAACAACATGATATAGGGCTCCTCAGAGTCGCTTACAAATTAGTTGTTTTTTCTTTGGAGATGAATCTTCCTGCCATACTTGAGCAGGGGCATATCTAGAAAGTTCTGGGGGCCCAAAGGCTATTTTGATACTGCGACATGTGACAATTTCCCAGAGGGCTGCAAGAATATCTCTGCGACCTGCCCTTCCTGTGATGTGTGTGATTTTGTTGTGTTTTTTATTTTTACTTTTATTTTTATTTGTTTGATTTTTAAATTATAGTTTTCATGGTGATCATTTGGAAGCATGCACATTGGGGTCATTAAATCACAGTTCCTTTTTTGTAGTCAATTAACATATGTTTGGGATTTGGGATTGTAACAATCCCTACTCCCTTCCCACCCCCACTTTTGAAATGGGGACAAGAAAAATTCCTGAGGAGAAAAGTGACTTTGGGAGCTTATATATCTCCTGGAGAGTCTGTTTATGAAGATATTTTTATTTTTAGCACAGACAGTTAAAACTAAACCCCAAATGACTCTGGGGAGGCCAATTCACATTCTAAGTGCCTATTTCTATTTAATTGTATTTTTTAAAATCTTGCAAAAGTCTATATATTAGGAAAAAAATTAATTCTTTAGTAAATCTATGGGTCCACATATACTGTATGTTTTTAACTGAGACATATTATTACAGTATATTATATATATATATATATATATATATATATACAGATGAAAGTGAGTAGATGGTCCTTATATATTGAACATAGTATGTTTTGGTTATTATTTAAAATTTATGATATTACAATGTATCGTTTTGGTGTTGACAGTGACTAATTTTTCTGCAGTACATGCTGATCTCAAACTAATATCCTTAACATATTTGTTGTTTCTCTGAACAGTTGCAGAATGACTGGATTTTCTCTGGTTTTCCTTTACTAAAACAGCCCTCTCTTTCTGAGCTGTTAACTGTCTAACCTTTTCTTTCCCCCTACTGAAAGGCTTAGATTATTCAAGGTAGAAAAGCAAAAAGGGGTGTTAGGAGTGCAGACACAGTCTAGCTAAGACAGATGAGTAAAACTGAAGGATTCTCCACACCCCTCAAAGACCTTTACAGAGGCCTTCGCGGCCTGGGAGGGGCCCTGCATGCATCACGCCTGCCTCGGGTGATGGTCGCCCACCATCAGTACAGCTGTAGACCACGGGTTTCCTATAAGTCCGTCTCTTTGGTTTTTCTTTTTTATTTCTTCTCTCAGATACTCGCCAAGAGACCAGAGGCTCATTTGAGAGAAGCACAGAAGGAAGGGTGGGGCTTGAGGAGCCCACTTTCTAGATTTGCCTTTGCTCAGGTTACAAGCCAAGCTATGAATTGGTAGCTCAAAGGAAACTGTAGTCATCCAGCCGGGGTGCATGTGTGGCAGGACAGATTAAAAACAAATCCATTCTACTCATTTTATGTGTCAGGATCTTTGCTTTGTTTCATTGCAGTAAACTGTGACCCTAAAGTCCATCAATATGACCGAAGGAAGTTTTGGAGTTGAGGAGGAGTCCTTGTATGCTGTAAAATTGAGTAGTAGGGCAATACCAACCGATTCCTATGAGTTTTCTGGGGCTGGGGAGGGTCGGGGTAGGGGAGGGATCACTTATGGGCACAGGGCGGCAGTGGTCAGTGGATGAGCTTTAGGCCTTTGAATCCCTTTTAAACTTTATAAATGTCTATCAGATGTGCTCAGGGAGACAAAGGGAACGTTGCCGTATGTCTGTTTATGTCTAGTAGCGAGTTATGAACAATACTGGCAGGAAAATTATTACCTCTGTGGGAGGCCTATTTGTTAGTCTGCTTTTTTCTTGTAAAATTTTTTTGCCCTTTTTCTATGTTACTAACATGCTTAATAACTAACATGTCATTCATGGAATGTTTCATTCTACTAACCGTTACCTGAATCAAAAAATGTACTAACATGGTAGAGACCATCATATTTTTTAAGTAACGATCGTTATTCTGTTCACAGTTTTTAATTTCCTTTCTCCCCCCTTCTCCACAAAGCACTCAGGCATTGGACACGCTATGGTAAACAAACTACATTGTTCGGTAGATATCATTCTAATTGTTTCTTATTTTGGGTTTGCCGTGTGTTTTCTTTCTTTCTTTTAACTGTAGACATCATTAACAAAAGAGGAACTGCGGTTGGTACTCTTCTGCTTACTTTGACCTCCTTCTTTTCATCTGTTGTTGACCTTCTTATTTTGTACCTGTTCCTGTCAACTTCTGTTTTCCAACTCACCTGTAGGGGCATCGTTAACGTTTCGAACGTTTGCATCCAGCTGTGGTTAACACGGGATAAGACAAATGGTGGCTGGCCCGAGTGACCACAGGCTCAGCCAGGCTCTAACCACTCATGACGCATGGCATGCACACTTGATTTGGGAATGCTGGAGATGCCACACCCACTCATCTTTACGTCATCACAAAGCAGTTGTTTTTTTCCTTTTCCTTTGGTTCTCCCTGTTTTCTTTCCTTTCCTTTCTGAACTGTACTGTCCCTCCTGCATGTGCACATCAGCGTGTACCGCTTCCACGGGTTGTTGTTTTGCCTTCCCTCCCCTTTAGCATGGCCGTAGGCACTTGCATGCTGAACAACTGCTGCTCAATAGTGCGAATAGTGATGTTGCTGGAAGTAGCTTGTGCCTTTTATGTTAACAAGGTGCACGTTGTGATTAGTTAATAACAGACGACTAAACTTCACTAATATGTACACCAGCAAAACTAACCTAGGAAGCATTTTACTAACACCATTTTTGTGTCTGCTAAATAACTTTTGAGTTGCAGTAGGGATGATGCTGACACTAGTTCAATAATCAGTTAACTCTCTAACTAGCTTAGCTCTCTTAGGGCTAGTTGAATAGAATCCAAGAATAAACCTGAAACAGACATGAAAATGGGTTCCGCCATAGGTCTAAAAATAAAAACCAAACAAACAGAAAAAAAAAGCAAAAAAAGCAAAATGAAAAAAATAAAACAAACAAAACACAAAACAGGCATATCCCAGGATTACAGTATCTAGGTCTGAGTATAGCGTGTCCTTTCCCTGTGCTTTGTTATCTAGGTGACAATATCAGTGGATGGGATTCTTACCACAACGGGCTACACGCAAGAAGATTATACCATGCTGGGGTCTGATGACTTTTTCTATGTTGGAGGCAGTCCCAGCACAGCAGACCTTCCAGGGTCACCAGTCAGTAACAACTTTATGGGCTGTCTCAAAGAGGTAAATATCACTGTCACCAGAATCATTTCTAATTCATGATCTCATTGTTTCAGATCTGGACTGAAAGCACGTTTACTGAAGACCTGATGTTTGTGGAATCAAATGACACAACCTTAAATTCAGTATTCTACTGTTGTTTGTATAGGAGCGGGGGGTAGGTGGGCAACTCACAGAACATTGTGAAGGAATTAAGTTCCTCTTCTGTAGTAGCCTGTAAGTAATTTGCAATTGAGATTTGCACAGGCAGTTGCATAATAGCTATAAAAGAAAGTCCAACACAAAGATCTGTTGCGTCTGGAGTTGAGCTAAGTTCTTTGCTTGTTTTTACTGAAATGCCTTAGCTGTTATGTATACTATAATCATGACTTGTTTGAGCATTACAGGGGAAAGAAAAGAAGGAAAAAAATAGGCTACGAGAGAGACTATGTGAAAACTGAGTCTATATGATGAAACAATTTTGTTACTATATCTTAAATATGTTCTGATGGAGGTAAAGTTGTTTCATGTGTCATCTGAGGAGCTTACCTAATATTTATCCGACTAACACTATCAGGCTAAAAGATATCAATAAGTCCATCCCCATTCACAGCTGTCCTGTTGTAACATTTGATTGGATTGCAGCTTGTCGGGTTACGAGGAAAGAAAGATCACAGAGTGCTTGATTTTTAACTTATATGAATGTTTTCCCATAGAGCTGCCCATTTTCATTCAGGCTTTATCTGCTTTTTTTATGGCTGCTAGAGCCAGACGTTCCTCTTGCATCACAGAGCTGAAGTTCAGTGGTGTTGACCTCTAAAATGTAAAGTTCAATAACTGAATCTATTAATGATCAGCTATAGATGTTGCTGGTAAGCAGTGACTTATTTTGGTTCATCCCGAAGAAAATACTCTAATCATATAAACTTGATTTGGGTAAGCACCAGTGAAAAACAGTCACTGCTGGGATTACTCTTATTTGTCTTCCATTTCTGTGAACTTACTTGGCGTTGCATTGCTCAGTATGTAGATGTGTATAGAAGAGTCCTAAGTGGGACTCAGAATACTATAGTTTTAACAAATACAAGGGTCTGTGGTCCTGGTAGGCTGAATCTAACCGTACTTTGTGGTGGGAAGGATCGATTGCCTCCCAGAGAATAACTTTTCCTCTTTAAAAATATGTAGTATGACTCAAGACTCTGTTAATCTCTCTGGATATAATAAAGTAAAAATAATTATTATGATGATGGTAATACTCCTGATACTTTTGAGCTCATATTTCATGCCTGATGCTATCCGATGAGCTTTACCGGGATCTCCATAATATAGGCAGTAGTTTTATTATTTGAATTTTTCAGACAAGCAAACTGAAGTTTGGAGCAGGTAAATTTCTTGAGCAAGATTTTACATAAGAAGTATTAAGCTTTAGGGATTGATCAAGGAATATGATTTCAGAGTCTTTTGTGATCCGAGACACCATAATATACCGTGTCCCAACACAAATGTATGTTAGAGTCCTTAACATAAAAAATTGTACAAACCCTCAAGGTTGTTACAAACCGAGGCTGTTTTTAGGAATGTGCAATAGACTGTGAGGAATGGAGCATTAAATCATCTGGCCCAGTTACACCCAACTGGGTTCAAAAGAGAGTGAAATGAGTGAGAGATCCAGCAGACAAGGAAGATACACAGAAAAGTAAGAATGTGAAAATCTTGAAGGTTGGCTATGATTTGGATAGGCAGGGGGTAGAGAAGGTATTTCAAGTTGGGAGGAACATGGTAAAAAAAACATAATTAAAATCCCCAAGGTGTCTGAAACCCACTCTGGTGGTGGGAATTGGGGTTGGGGGCAGAACCACACCCCCACCCACCCACCTCCTTTCCTCACTCTCACTGTCAACAGGCCAGCCTACAATCAGCCCCTATACCCTGCTTTATTTATAGAAAGTTAGTCCCATCATGGACTGGGAAGAGGAAAGGAAATCCATGGATCTCTAGCAGAATCTGGAATTTAGCTAGACAGACCTTTCTGATTACCGGTAAGGACATGAGAATTTCTGCAGTTAAAGTCTGAGCTTAGCCGAACCTCATTGGCTTTCAGCAGTTCAACACAGGCAAGGCAATTTTCTGTGTGTATGAAGCCACAGTGGACTGCCTTAATCTAAAATTACTGTTTCAGATTGATGTCTTTAAAGTTTAAATGATAATGAGTAGTCCATACACTAGAATTCATCTCTTTTCAATTGGTTTTACAACCACATACACGTAAAGAACTCTATAGAAAAAACAAGTCAGGTGGTCTCTCATGTGACATTTAATTGGTAGCTACTGAGTCCATGCAGTGAGGACCCATGCTATTGTCTTTACAGGGCTTGGCTGTATATCACTGATCTTTATTGACTGAGTATGTCCCATATCTCTCTTCCACGGCCTGGGGCTTGTGTTTGGAGTAAGTGCTGCACTTGTTTTGATGTGTAATTTCTTGTGTTTTATTTCCTTCTGACACACTAGAGGGTGGAAGGATGCGGGCACAATCAGCCTATAAATCAAAATAGTCCTCATTTAAAGGGCTTTCAGATGTTCACAGTTTTCATCCATGTCTGAATTACTATTTATAATGGCCTGCTCTTTCTACCTCTGAAATGAAATTGTGACAAAGTATCATAGATTTTGAGTTAAATCACCTGTTTCAGATAGCTAGCTTTGCAGAATTACAGAAAAGAGAGGAACATGCCCATGGTCATTCTTACCACATCTCTCTTAACACTAAGCCCCTGTAAGCCTTCCTTAGCTCTGCCGGGCGTCCTGCCCTGTAGCACATTGCATATATAAAACCTTAATTATGGTTTCATTTATGACTCATAACATTTTGTATTTTCAATCTAGTATGTAAGTCCCCTTAGGATGACCAGTGCTGGGGGAGATACTCATAACAACTTCTCTGAAGTCATAGAAGAAATTTTGGCATGTTAGAATAGGAAGGATCCTGGAAACCATTCTCTGAGTCCAATCTTCTTGTTTTGGAAATGTGGAAATGTACCTAGAGAACTTAATTGACTCACCCAAGAGCAATGAAGGGATGACAGGATTAGAACACAGAATCCTAGCAGATCAAATATATTTGAATGGCTGGCTCTGTTTCACTGTAAACAGGGGCACTCAAAGGTACAGAAATAGAGATGGCCTACCACTATCGTACATTCTCATCTTTGTTTGTTAAAGATTAAAATAAAAAAGAAATTACATAATGAAACAACCCATAATCTAATAATGTTCATTAGAAGGATTTAGGGCCTTATACATATGACTATTTGAAATGAGACTTGGATTACATATAGAGCAACCAACCCTCATTAAGAATATTATTATTTTCTTAGTGATTATCACATTTCAAAATAAAATAAAATTAGTTCAACAAAGTCTAACCTGAACTTCATACATTATACTTTGTTTGAAATGAGAGGGAGCTTTGAATGACTAGGAATTTATAATGGGGGAATCAAAGTAGTTTTTTAAAACATGTTTTTATTATAAATAAATTTTAAAAGCTTTGGAGAAATGTTTGAGCTTACTGAAAATTACTTTCAAAGGATATAAATTTAAGAAAAGTTAAATGAAAATTGTAAATAATAGATTACTGTTATATACAGTCCACATCTGTAAAATTTCTAGAGGATGATAAGTCTTTTAAAAAATATGCTTTTTCACTCTAATTATTATGAAAGCAATACTAATCGTGCTTCGGCAAGTAATATTTGTTTATATTTTAATTGCATTTTTGATAATATTAAGTAAAGGCTAAAATATGCATTGCTCAAGAATTGTCGATCATTTTAAATTTAATTTAATTTTTCGAACAAGCAGTTTGGAGTGACTGCCACTCCAGGAGAGGTACTAGGCCAGTGCTGCAGAAAGGAAAATCGTGGCATTGAAGCGAGATGCCTGGAGTCTGTGTGGTGCCCTGCCCATTCACCTTCGGCTAGTTTAAAAACGTCGTTCTGTATAAAAGTATCAGAGTTGATTTCTAAGTGCTCATTACAGACATTTTAAAAACATCTTCGAAGATGGATGAAAATCTCACTAATATGTATTCCTTTCCCAATATTTGACCATGAAGACTTGGTGTTGTTAGTAAATGACTTACCAGGAAGGATCATGCTGCTCCCTCATTAGTCTTGCCTTAGAATCTCTTGCCCTATGCATTTCTCTGTGCCTCCAAAACGCTTTGAAACACCTATTTCCCTCCTGCAGAGTGAAGATTGTTTAACATAGTTTGTTAAGTGGGAAATGAAATTGAAGAGGTATGAAAGGATTGCAGTCGATAAAACAACCTAGAATCCTTCATTTGAAGTTTGTTTTTAGCCCTATGTACCTGCTGGCATTGTTGGAGCAGAGACCTGCCTGTGTGAGGCGATTTTGAATGCTGCCACTAACTATTGCTTGGAATGAGCCTAAGGACGATTCCAGAAAACAAGTAAGAGAGATAAAAAGGAGGAGGAGGAGAAGAAAGTGAAGTGCCAGGGGGAATTAAATCCCTACTGAAAATTTCATCAATCTAATTAGATCAGCTCAGGCTTTAATTATACTGAGAAACTTTTAGCACTAAAAATTTGGAAGATGCTATGAGGCAGATGAGGTTCAGAAAATATCTTCTTATATAAGCATTTCTCCCTCTGTGAAAAAATAGTTGCTTGCTACATGCTGGCAGCATGGTCTCCTCTGCCGTGTGCGGTGGTGACACTGTGCGTTCCACACTGTACTGGCATCAGCACTGGGAAAGAGGTACCATGTGTACTTTATGCAGATACCCCCCAGTTCCTGTCTTTCTTCTTTTGGACAAAAGAGAACTTCAGGAAGTTGTGAAGGCTTCTCAGTTTACCTGCCCCTTCTCTGATAGAACTGACCATCACTTGGTGGTCCTCAGGTGTCCTTCTCTTCTCTCATCCCCTCATTGCTCAGACAGGAGTAGAATCCCCGTCATTTACTCATAGGAACAAAAATCAGTGGTGGAATCTGCATTTTAA